ATTATATTTATTAAATCACCCAAAATTCCATTTCCGTCTAAATTTTTCTCAGCACATTCACAAATCATTCTTAAAAGGCATTCCCGACCTGGATATCCATGCCTATAAAAATTTATAAAAGTTACATTTTGAAACAAATGTAAAATTTATAAAGTAATTATACTTTTTTTGGCGGGTTGAGAGTTTTTAGCGTGCAACGGAAGTTGCGTGCGCACCACGCAATTAATTCACGCGACTGCCAATTTTAATCGACAACATTGTTGAAATAAATACAAATACGTATAATCTAAATAAATAAAGAATATAACTAATACTGCGTGTACATAAATATACACACTTTTTTTTACGTACCCTTCTAATTTGAATTCTAACGCCCTGTACACGCCTAATCTCGAAATAGTAGGAAAATTCCTATTAGAAACGGTGGGTGGATACGTGAAATTAGTTTGATTTGATGGTAAATTGTAATTGGCTTCTAAATTAACCGAAAAAAATAAATCCACGTTATTAATCTCAACTGGAAATGCAATCGCCACAAAAAGCTAAAATTTATAGTTAAAAAGTAAAAGTCAGTATAAATAAACAAAAATTTATAACTTACTCCAATGAAAGGAATTACAGGATCTCCATAGGGAAAATGAAATTGGTTAGGAACTGTTATTTGTCCAATTCCGAAGTTTGTTAAACATATAAGAGTAAGAAAGAATGTAAAATGCATGATTTTTTAAAGGTATAGTGAGTAAAGCAAAACACAAGAATGTTATTTTACATATGAAATTTAAGCTTGTTTTTACCGTTATCGAAACGAAATGTACTTTCAACCTGCTAATTGGTTCTTAAACAGACAAATTAAATAGTCAGTACTTAAACCCATTTTCGGTCAGTATATGTATATAAATCAATTTTCAGTCAATATTTTATTACCAAATGGTCAGTATAAAAATCCTAAATGAACAGTATAAATGTTAAGCGATCAGTATACATAAATCAACTAGTCAGTACATTAATTATTTATTATGATTAGGCTAAGTTACGTTAAGTTAAGACTAAGACTAAAATACAATTGATCAATACAATATTATATATAAACAAAAATATGAGTGCTGTCGGCACAGGGCAAAGCAGTATTACGTTAATGAAAGTTAGTATCAACAATTTCTTGTACAGTGTACGATGTATTGCATACCTATTTACAAACAATTTCTTTAAATTTTAATCATTCATTACTATACATCTATTAAAAAACCATAATGGCCGACATCAGTAACAATGCAACAACAATTGAAAAAGAATGATGGCCGACAACTCCAACAATTAGAAAAGAATGATGGCCGACAACTCCAACAATTAGAAAAGAATGATGGCTGACACTACGTCATAGTGGAGCAATAAAAATTGCCGGGGACAGGGGAAAAAACCAGTACAAGTCAAAAATAAATTGTATTATCTGATATTATTACTTATGAAGATTAGTTGATATATATAGGATGATGTGTGCTGTTAGTTTAAGTGCTTATTATAAATTGCTAGTAGGTTCGACAGATAAAGTGGGTATAAAGGGTAGTTATATCTACACGAATGATTAGGGAGAAAAAATGGAAATATTATTTTATATGCAAATTTTCTGACCCTTCCTCTGTCATTGCTCAGTCGACTACTCTCACAGGGCATCTATGATCACAAAGATCCGAACATTAGAATTATTAAAAGCGTATTAAAGGTTTATCTATGATCAGAAGAATAACAAGATGTAAACAATAGCTATCTATGACAATAGCCAACAATAACAAGGCCAACAATAACCTACTTTTGTTTCCATATTATGTTAAACGGCATATTATAATGAAAATTATTTGAATTCAAACAAAAACATGATCTTTGGTCACGACTGTTCGATAAAAGTGTTCTTATCATGTTGACATAACAGTTTTAAAGAGTAGTTTTAATCAAAAATGAATCATTTTAAAGAAACAGGCTTTTGCTACAAGTGCAGACAATAATGTCAATAAAACATATTTTTGTATGCAAGGTATGTTTTCTACATTCATTAATTCATTTTTTTGACTGTTTGTTCTTTAGGATGTTCCTTTTCCTTCTGGAACCACGAAAGAAGAACAAAGAGTTTGGAGTGGCTGGTGTGAAATGGGAGACCGAGAAGTTGTCAGGGAGGCTGCTGTTAAAGGGGTTCATGTTCAACTGGCAATTAAGTTTTTGGCTACACGGAATCATACAGCTTATGAAAAGGCGCAGACAGTTTTTAATCAAGAAGTAAGTAATTTTTCAATTGTATAATTGAATAAGAGGCAAATATGACTGAAGTTTTGAAAAGGAACACCTGATTGATTTAAAACTTTTACTAGACACTCCTTTATGGATCAGATTTTTGACAATTTAAAGCGGAAGTTGTAAAAATTTCTTTTTTCTGTAATGGTAGCTTAAAAATACGTTTTTGGGAAACAGAACCCTTAGATTAGCTTCAATCTTTTACAAGATAATGTTCTCTAGGAACTGTATACTCGTTTAAAAAAAAACAAAGAGGGAGAAGGAGGTAACCATTATCTACCCTAACAACCTAGTATGAATTAGGTTGGTTTGTGTTATGTTAAATAGGATATGTTAGTTTAAGATGTGTAACAGTTTCCCCTTACCGGGTGAGAACTGTAACCATTGAACAATTTATTTTGTTGTATACAGACATTCAACTTATACATATACCTATTAAACTGCAGCCCCTGTTGATGCATTATTACCCCTTTCGGTTTGACTCTTCAAAAATCCTATTAGGTATTATCATTTAGTCAGTAAAGGATTGTGTGGTAAAAATTTGAAACCTTTGATGGTGCTCGTTTTCCGAACTCCAGCCACAAATATCTTCTGCTCTATTCGTAGGTTAATTTGTGGGTACATGAGCTTCTTAATAGGAAACAAATATTCAGGGCTTCTCATATTTTAAACAATATGAAATTAGATCCAGTTTTGGAAATGACCCAGATCTTTGTGGAAACTGACAAAAAGGATCTGAGAAACTATATTGGTGATCATTTGTGTAAAATAAGTAAAATGCCTGAAAATTTCATTGTGACATGGAATTTACTGAAAGCAATTGAAAACAAAAGCAATATTCTTAGTCGGGATGAAAATTATACAGCAACATTTTCAGAAATTAACAAAAAAGATCATAAGTGGAAGTGTAAAGTTGGTACAAAACTCTTCTTTTCGACTTTTGGTAAGCTTAATTTTTTTAGTAATATCTGTTAATACTGTACACTGTGCAGCGATTGGTAGATTTTATTTAATTGAGTATAATTAATCCAATATTCTAATGCATTGAAATTACAATAATGTTAAGTGATCAGTTATTAATTTAATTATATTTAACTATTCTACTAAGAACTTTTTTCAATTTTGAATGCCTTATTTTGAACTTTTGTAAATTATTATAATATCCTGAAATATTCCTTTTTATTTATAGATTTTCAATTAAAACCTTATCTAGAAAAGGAAATAATGTGGGAGTTTTTATTAAAAAATAACAACAAAAGTTTATTGAAATTGTGGATTGATTTGAGTTTTTCTGAGAATCAAGACATAGACTGTGAATTAGAAAATCTAACCATTGACCAAAAAGCTGTCTTAAAAGAATTATTTAAAAGTTACGAAATCAGTAAAGAAATGGTAGATTTATTATGTGAAAACAGCACTTGTATAGAAGATGAACTTAGAGATTTTGTACTGAATGAATTGTGTAAATTTGGCATGTTTTGCTCAAAAGAAGTAAATGATGTGGTTTATTTAATTCGACGAATTATTAACACGACTGGCATTTCAGAATTGTATGATTTATTGAAGAAAAATCAGATTGGTCATTTTTTGAATTCATTTACTAAGCATTGTATAAAAAATAAATATTACATTCCTCTTAACGTAGTTCTAAATCAAATAGGTACACAATGTTTTGATTATAATAATTTTAATTCGGAACATTTAAACATAATTATTAGTACAAAGCATTTAGCAACCAATTTTAGAAACGATAATAATTTTATTAAAAATATTTTTGATTTTGCTAAACTTTTGTCTGGTGGTGATTTACATTCTTATTTTATTGAAAATCCTTTAATATTCCTTTCCCTAGTATTATTCAACGATAAGAATTTATTGTTACCAATTAAAGGAAAAGGATCAGAATATCTTCACAATTTTGAAATAGATCTTAAATTCTTGGAAAAGGCAGTCGAAAAGTTACCAGTCGTTAGAAAATTAGTTGCAGAAATTAATACAGAAACAAGTACTACTTTAACGATTTACGATCTCTTAGAAAAACATGCCANGTCTGGTGGTGATTTACATTCTTATTTTATTGAAAATCCTTTAATATTCCTTTCCCTAGTATTATTCAACGATAAGAATTTATTGTTACCAATTAAAGGAAAAGGATCAGAATATCTTCACAATTTTGAAATAGATCTTAAATTCTTGGAAAAGGCAGTCGAAAAGTTACCAGTCGTTAGAAAATTAGTTGCAGAAATTAATACAGAAACAAGTACTACTTTAACGATTTACGATCTCTTAGAAAAACATGCCAATGTGGATGTTAAAAATGTTTTTAACTTTCGTTTTTCAAATGACTCGTCATTTCCTACATTCACTTCTCATACTTCTTTACTTGATTACACTTACAAAAAAAAAATTAATTTCTTAACGTATATACGCCAAGAAAGACCCAGCATTGCTGCTTTAAGTTTTTACACATCGTCCAATGCCAATGAAGAAGTTCTCAGAAAGATCGAAAAATTCGCTTATAAAAATTACAATAAACCAAAATTAACTGCTACTTGTATAGCTTTTTTAAGAATGATTGGTGAAGATTGTTACAAATTACGAAATCACATACATATAGCCAACTTATTGGACTTGGAATTCGATTCAAAAGGACGGCTTCTTTTCAGTCTTACACCAGAAGATGTTATCAAAGACATCGAAAACTTGTATAGCTCCGATATAATTAACTTAATGGAATGCTTTAACGTTTACAACTTTGTGGATATTTTAAAAAAGTATAAGGTGCTTATAAACTTTGCTAAATATCACGAGACAAAATATCCTGAACAAATACTTGTAAAACTGGCTGAAAACAATCATTGGCTAGCGTTTCTTATTTTCGTGCAATACTTTAACTATCCTGAGAACCAAATATCTAAAGTATGTGTAAAGTTTAAAAACACTGCTTTATCAGAACACTTACAGCACGCTCTTTTTAATGACATAAAAGTAGAAGAATCGAAGACGTCCCTCATGAGGGAAAGGTGAGCAATAATGCCTTAAATAGTATATACTAGTACTTATTATTTTTAAACTGAATAATTCACAACAATATAAATAAAACTCTATAATTTCTTAAAATTACATACTTAATATTCTTTTTGTACTTAAATACAAAATCAGTCAGAGTCAGAATTTGAATTATTTTGTTGTTCTTCTTCTTCCTCTTGTTCTTTTAGATGTTTAAGCTTTGCAATTAATTCTTTTGCTGGATTAAATACCCCATTTGTCTGAGCAGAACAAATAGCACATCTTGAAGTCTTCTTATATCTGTTCAATGCACAACCCTCACAAAAGTAATGTTTACATCTGAAACAAAGAGTAGAATTAATAATAATTTACTGCAATAAATAGGTATGAATGTTTTGCTAACTTACTTTGTAACAATTGGATTAACAAAACTTTTCCTGCAAATGTAACATTTGAATGGCAAATCTTCTTTATCAGAGTCAATTTCGTATTTTTTGTCATCATCACTTTCATGTCCATATTCACCAGAAGCCCATTCTCTTTCCAGTTGCCAGCCATGTTTATAATCACTTCTATCATGCAAAAATTTACAACTGTCTCCAAAACCACAATACCCTGTTTCTTTATAATCTTTACATATATCTGGTTGATAATCCCATCGAACAGTAGCTCTTAAGTTAGCTGGGGCTCTGATAGGACCTTTCCTAACTAACCCTATAATTAAATAATGCTTTTAGTATGTATTTGATTATATTTATAATATCATCAACTAAATAAATGAATACCTGAGCTTGCATTTCCTGCAGCAGTGTCCTTAGGTTTATAATATTGGGCATAATTATTTAATCCTCTGTACACCTTGTCATCTACCTGTCCTTCAAGTTCTTTATTAATTTCAAGTCGTTTTTCAAAAATTGCTTGAGCATCTCGGTCTTTTTCAGTTTCAGTTTCCTAAAAAATTGTAAAATTCAATTTAATTAATTTAATTACAACATAAATTTATTATATGATGAACTGGATTCAGTTACCAGAATAGCTGTGGCTAATTGATCAGATGGTCCGCTTGGCATTGCAGATCTGTTTGATTTGTAATTAACTGAAACTGCTTCATCATTTTCATCAGTATCACTTAGTGATTCATTAGTGTCATCTTTCTTCTTCTTAGTATCAGCAGTACTTTGAATATTTAAATTTACTTTTCTTTTTCTTGATAAAGGTTTGATAACAGTATTTTCATGTTCATCTTCGCTATTTTCTGAAATACATTTTAATATACAATAAGAATAACTACAAAAATGGAAAAGTGGTTTACCTGATTCTGAAGTGTCCTGTCTTTTTCGAGCACCCTTTGCTTTAATATTACGCTTTTTAAAAATGAACTGACAAGTGTTTCCACACTTTTCTTCTGACATAATAAATTAATTATTATTAGAAAAAGAATATTATAATTTCCAACTGTCAAAAGTTATAACCTCTCTGAAATCCTTTTCTGTTTACAAACGTTGTGACTGGTTGATTGGTCGCTCAAAGGCTCAAAGTTGTTTTGTTAATTAGCAGTGTGCCCAACTTCATAAGATAAATCGGGCTTTATATTTGTTTAGAAATTTTATCTTATTGTTAGTTTTCTTTTATAGACAGTTAATTTATGTTTTATTTGTCTGTATTAAATAAAAATTAATGGTTGAAATGTTTAAAACACTATTTAAATATTTAGGAGAGTGAAAATAACTAATAAAATGGTGCAGAATTATTTTAAATCGGTATGTGTTAACATTATTTATTAGCATGAATTATTAGGGCCATTATACTATTAAAAAGGTAAATTTATTAATTACACGTATTTTTCTATATAAGTAGTCTTTACTAGTTAGGTTTTAATACGATGATTATTGACTTATGAATTTTAAATGAAATATTAGTTAAATATCATCTATCCATGAAATTTGTCCCAAAATACTTATTGGACAATTTTTGCTGTATTTTTTGCAGTGCCTTTTAATTTCTCCATAACTTTCCGCCTTCAAATAAGTTGTCATTTTGTTTTCAATTGTACTTAATGAAGGCCTAAAATAATTTAATATGCATATTACAATATTTCTCGTAATTTTTAAATACCCCCAAATTGGGTACATGCCTCAAAGCAACGTTCAGTAAATCCCCTAGAACTCCATTGATGCTTAAATGCATTTCAGAAGCTTCACAAATGGTTCTTAAAAGGCAATCTTCTCCTGGATATCCAAGTCTGAAATTAAAAAAAGATAGGAAAAACGTACCAATTAATAATTTTAACTTGTACCTTCGTAGTTTGGCTTCAACAGCTTTATAGAAATCCCATCTGGTTATAGGGAAAATAGAGCGGCTTGAAATATCTGGCGGATATGAAAATTCTGTTTCATTTGTTGGTAAATAATAAACTGCTTCCATATTGGCAGTAAAATACAAATCGATATTTTTAATATCAATTGGTAATGATATCCCAACAAATAGCTAAAAAATATATCTTATTCTAATTGGGTAACATTACATTCTTTATTCTTACCCCAATGTAAGGCAAAAGAGGATCACCAAAAGGGAACCGAAATTTGTTTTTTATTTCAATATTTCCAATGGAATTATTCAAACTAACGACACAGAGAAATAATATGGATTTTACAGTGATATAACAACGCATTTTTTATTGTAATAAAGGTAAAGGAAGTTGTTTATTTCAAGTTACCAAGTACGACTATAATTTTTAACGAATATTATTGTTTGTTCCATTTAACGGTTCCGCTAAGAAAAGACGTTCTTTACTCAGTTTGCAAATATTCCTAAGGTGTTAATTTTATGTACCAATAATAAATAAGTAAAATAGTTTGTAACAAAAAAATGCACAGGCTGCTACATTTATTGATCATAAATAGACTACACTACATATCAGACCATGTAATTAATTTTAAAATACTAAATGGGCATAAGTCTTGATATATTTCACAGTGTTCGTTAGATTTTTCATAATTTTCAGCTTCGTCATATACTGATGAACCATTTTCTTTCAAACTGTAAGAAGGCCTGAAAATAATACATTGAAAATGATAATCAAATACCCACGGCTATTTTGGAATGTGATTATTATAAATATTGTATGTATTCACCTCAAAATTATATTTATTAAATCACCCAAAATTCCATTTCCGTCTAAATTTTTCTCAGCACATTCACAAATCATTCTTAAAAGGCATTCCCGACCTGGATATCCATGCCTATAAAAATTTATAAAAGTTACATTTTGAAACAAATGTAAAATTTATAAAGTAATTATACTTTTTTTGGCGGGTTGAGAGTTTTTAGCGTGCAACGGAAGTTGCGTGCGCACCACGCAATTAATTCACGCGACTGCCAATTTTAATCGACAACATTGTTGAAATAAATACAAATACGTATAATCTAAATAAATAAAGAATATAACTAATACTGCGTGTACATAAATATACACACTTTTTTTTACGTACCCTTCTAATTTGAATTCTAACGCCCTGTACACGCCTAATCTCGAAATAGTAGGAAAATTCCTATTAGAAACGGTGGGTGGATACGTGAAATTAGTTTGATTTGATGGTAAATTGTAATTGGCTTCTAAATTAACCGAAAAAAATAAATCCACGTTATTAATCTCAACTGGAAATGCAATCGCCACAAAAAGCTAAAATTTATAGTTAAAAAGTAAAAGTCAGTATAAATAAACAAAAATTTATAACTTACTCCAATGAAAGGAATTACAGGATCTCCATAGGGAAAATGAAATTGGTTAGGAACTGTTATTTGTCCAATTCCGAAGTTTGTTAAACATATAAGAGTAAGAAAGAATGTAAAATGCATGATTTTTTAAAGGTATAGTGAGTAAAGCAAAACACAAGAATGTTATTTTACATATGAAATTTAAGCTTGTTTTTACCGTTATCGAAACGAAATGTACTTTCAACCTGCTAATTGGTTCTTAAACAGACAAATTAAATAGTCAGTACTTAAACCCATTTTCGGTCAGTATATGTATATAAATCAATTTTCAGTCAATATTTTATTACCAAATGGTCAGTATAAAAATCCTAAATGAACAGTATAAATGTTAAGCGATCAGTATACATAAATCAACTAGTCAGTACATTAATTATTTATTATGATTAGGCTAAGTTACGTTAAGTTAAGACTAAGACTAAAATACAATTGATCAATACAATATTATATATAAACAAAAATATGAGTGCTGTCGGCACAGGGCAAAGCAGTATTACGTTAATGAAAGTTAGTATCAACAATTTCTTGTACAGTGTACGATGTATTGCATACCTATTTACAAACAATTTCTTTAAATTTTAATCATTCATTACTATACATCTATTAAAAAACCATAATGGCCGACATCAGTAACAATGCAACAACAATTGAAAAAGAATGATGGCCGACAACTCCAACAATTAGAAAAGAATGATGGCCGACACTACGTCATAGTGTAGCAATAAAAATGGCCGGGGACAGGGGAAGAACTAATTATTATAAAATAATTGATTACCGTGCGTGGGCATTTAAAAGTGATCACCTGTATATTAAATATACACTCGGTTTGAATATAGGCAACTTCTTTTAAGCCTGAATGTTAACGGGTAGCATACTATACAGAAATAAAGAGTGTCAACTTAACCTGCAATAAATGTGACGTTTAGATAACATCGTCACTTTTAGCAATGTGTTTATTTAAATTAAATGATATTTAATGGCAAAATGGCAAGACCTCATACGAATTATGAATATAATTCGTTAAAAAGTGAAGATTTTGAAATCGACTTGAAGCCTGAGGAAACTAAATTAGAGGTTTGTCTATTATTTATTTTTTTACACTTTTATGAATAAGGAAACTATGTTTTTGCATATTTAGCTTTATGATGACCTGGAAGAACACGTTGAGGGTGAAATTAGAGTTCCTGGGAGCAAAAGCAACGCAAAATTAGGAGAACCTGGGTTCAACTCATTAGATGAACCAATAAAAGAGACCATAGTAAGAATGCCCTTATCAAAACTTTGTGTCAAGTTTCATCTTATTGTTTTTATAGCTTAGAGATGTTAAAATAATTGGTATAAAGTTTTTCTATGTATTATTCCCAAGAGAGAAAAAGACACTTTTAAAGGAATGTAAGTAATAAATAGTGTTTAATGTGTCTTATAATTGAAATCCTGGATGTTGTAGGGGACCTATGGGGACCTTTAATCATATGCACATTCATGGCAATGTAAGAAAATAGTTGTATTACAATTCTTTCAGTAATAAATTAATTTTTAAGGATATTACAAGGCTCTAGAGTAGATAAATCAAATGATGGAGGCCCTGAATTTGCCGAAGTATTTATTATTGTTTGGGTGGGTTCTATGATTGTAACGCTCAATTCCAAACTTTTAGGGGGACACATGTAAGTAATCTTTATTACATTAATTTGTTTAATAATCAGTACACAGACACAATACGGTTGTTTGAAGTTTTACATTTTATTTTTGACCATCTATTAAGACATTCATATAGATGTATTAATAGTTATAATTAAAATTGCGATCAGTGTCATGTTTTATACAAGGGTGAGTGAAGATGATCTATTAAAACTAAACTTTAAGAACA